AGGTAAGAAAAATGTATTTTCAATAGAGGTTTGTTAATTATAAAAACCTACATAAATTATAATTAATATAGATCTATTTGGAATCTCAATATTAAATAGTACAAATACTTAAATGGTTTTTAAGACTTCTTAACAATATAGATTCTATTATTTTTATGTATATATATAATGTTATAAAAGTAGAATATTTAAGAAATTTCGATTATCAATTAGGCGAAAAAAGAACGTATGAGTCCGACGATTGTTGGGACGACAGCGAAATCGACAGACTCTGACTTCAAGCAGATTCTAAAGAGAGAAAAACCAAGAAATTCCGAATGAGCAATATTAATGATAATGGGTTTAGTTTAATACAAAAAGCATTCGGGGGGCTTCATAAGACTTTTTATAAGAAAAATTTAAAACAAACTCTTAATTATGAAACATTTCTGGAGGAGACAAGACTTGAGTTAATTAAACTACTCAAAAATTTACTGAATGAGAGCCCAATTAAATATAGCTTAAAATTAGAGTCTACCTACATCATACCGAATAACGCCGAAGTTAAAGAAAATAGGTCTTTTAAAACAACATCAAGAAGTTTGTATGTATCGAGTCTGATTAACGAGTTTCTGGATGAAGACTTCACAAAACTTTTACTAGAACAAGAAGAGTACCAGGGTAAAGGAAGCGGTTTTACACTTGAAAAAATTAGTTTCTTCCAATCTCTTTAAAACTTCCGGAACACTTAATTTTTTTTCGCTCCATTTAAACCCATCTATAGGCAAGTATTGCGACATTGCCCATCCATATCTGAAAGTATTATAAAAAAAAAAAAATAATAATAATAATTATATATTATAGTAAAACTATAATTATTATTTAAAATTAAAAAAAAATCAATTTTACTCACAAATTTGTAGCATCAAGATAGACAATCCAGTTATCCGGCTTAGTATCATCATAACCAGGAAGTCCTATGTGATTAGCTTCAGAGTATCTGCGAACTGCAGTTGTTAAACCCCCTCTAATACCCTGCTCTAACATCATAAGCATGTCGTAGTCATTTAAAAGTTCCAACTCGATCTTTGTATGCTTTAACATACAGTCAAAAGACATGCCCGGTGTAATAATAATTAGGATCTAATCCATACGTTTTTAAACAGATGTCTCTAAAAGATTCAAATACATCACATAACAACAGCACATCCAATTTTAAATACCAGTCACTATAGTGCCCCAACGTTGTACATTCAAAATGATCCCAAACTTTTTGCGCGTGTTTATAATCCTCTTCTGTTATATGACTGTCATTCAGAGAACTATAAAACTCGTTAATGGATGACAGCGATGTTTCATTTAATTTTTCAAAGGAGTCTGTATACTCGTAGGGGTAAACACCTTTACGAGTAATAAGACCTATATCTGTTTGAGGAAAATGTTTTGCTGTCTCTTTGAATTTTTCAACATCCCCTTTAGCCAAATTTTCGGTTAGTTTTGCCAAACTAGATGCCATAAATCTGTTGCTGTCTACAAATCTTATTTTAAAATCTTTAGTAACATACTTTGAAAATGAAATAAATTTTTCTTCAGTGTTAGGTATAACATTTATCGGTTTATCATCATATCCTAGCTGTGTTACAATGAAATGACTGTCATAATTTGATAAGTTATGAAAAAAACATGGCACGAATTTAGGAGATTTTAAATTTAAATAACACTCATTACATATTGTCTGTCGATATTTAGAAGTTAAATGATCATGATCACGCACTGGTAGATTGTTTGTAGAGAATTTTTTAGAGCATAAAGGACACGAACCCCGTTTTACTATATCGTTATGTTTTTTCGCGTCAGCATGCTTAAAAGTCATTGGCATGTTGACTTGTAACATTTCCGATATATTTCGAGCTACTTTAACAATTTCTTGAACAAAATGTTTAGCCACCGCACCCTTTTCTCCAAGACCGTCCCCTCTGTACAACACTGGAGACGTTGGAATTGAAAACTGCTGTAGTAATGTAATTGGTATGTCTTCTTTAGCCTTAACATAATAACAGTAGCTCATGGGTTCATGGTCATGAATTATTTGGGTATTATGCAATTCTTCAGAGTCGTGTTTGAACAAAACAGCTACAAAATCCGCGTAAATGGCAACAGGATGCCGTTCAGTATTGGCCCAGTTTTCAAATTTGGTTGTTGTGTTAGACTCAGGCATAACTGGTGTTATAGGCTCGTTAACTCTACAATGCTCTTTGTGTTGCTGTAGAAGTTCTTCTTTGCTGGGTTTTCCTGGCTTGGAAGTGTAAGTTTTAAAGCATCTTCTACATATAACAGTTTGTAAAACCGCTTCCTTTACCCTGGTACTCTTCTTGTTCTAGTAAAAGTTTTGTGAAGTCTTCATCCAGAAACTCGTTAATCGGGCTCGATACATACAAACTTCTTGAATTGAAAATGTATGATTTAATTAGAAAGAGTCATTAACGATTACTCATTAGCTCAAATAATAGTGCACGTGTATATTTTAGCTAATTAAAGTAAATACTTTCAATTAGAAAACATCAATAACTTATACTCGTTAGCGAAAATAATTATTTGTTTATGTTACTGAACTATCGAATAGAATTTGACTCAATATCAAAAATGTAGTTGCAAATAATATTGCACTGTAAATATCTTTATAAATATATTATTAAACTTTAAGTTTAAAATAAACGATATTAAACGTAATATCGCTGTTAGTCTAATCCATTCTATTAAACTACTTATTAAGGGGCATGAATTAAGGAAAGTCAATTTTTTTTATGTTGTACACACTTTACACATGTAGTCATGTTTAGGTAGCGTTGGGTTAAACACCGCCGTCATCACCACTAACGTTGACGCTTCCGTCGTCACCGTCTTAATTATCATTGCTCTAATGTCTTTTTGTATTTTAAATTTTGACTTTAACTACTTATTTGTGAGTGCGTGGAAATAAATAAAATCATTAAGTAATTTTTCTAAAATAGACCTTTTGTTGGGTTAAAATGCCGCCGCTCTAATGACATTTCACATTTCACATTGTGAAATTGAGCCAGAACATATATTTCTTATCTACTATTGATGCGGATACTGTTAAAATTTTGAAACCATTCACTGAGCTAGAGCCATCCGTTGATATGAAAGCAGTTCATAAATTGATAGGAAGCGACTTAGATCTTACTGAACTTTCAATGGAATATTCGGAGCTTCTCACTTATCAAAATATTGAACAGTTAAAAAAAATCAACTTGAAAGAAACTCTTCAGGCTTTAGTGATGACAAATTTTTTTCCCAATGTTTCTGTTATAATGGCCAGAATTGTTGCAGCAAAATCTCATTCCGCTGATGTTGAAAGAGTGATTAGTGTTAACAATTTGTTGAAAACCAGCAATAGAAGCAGTCTAAGTATTGAAAGCGAGAATGAATATCTATATATTTATTTTAATCTTTCACCATTAGCCGAATGGAATCCCCGTCCAGCAATTAATGAGTGGTTTAAGAAAAAAAGGAGAGTTAGAGAAACTGTTTAGGCGAAAGAACAAGAGTGGTATAAGGGAATATTTATAAGTGCAAATGATAACCAAAAAGATTCGCAAACCGAAGAAAACGTTCCTACGAAAATGTTTTAAGTTTTGTTTGTACTGATTTCAATTTTGAGATAACTTATTTTTTTATTGTATATTTTTCTGTTTCCTTTTTTTAAAAGTTTTAGGATTTATTGTAATAATAAAACACTAGTCTTCATTAAATGTAGCACTTTTTTTTACCCCCACTAACCTACCAAAGTCTTTATGAAATTTTATGCTTTAAAAAACGTTTTTACTAACATAAAAAGGAAAAAAAATGTTGCCTGCGCCCCCACCGAACCCCCGCATAGCTCTGTTATCCGAAAAGTACTTCGTTATGTTTGATGTTTATGTTTATGTTGATGCACAACATAAAAAAAGGACAGTGGGTATTAGAAAAAAAACATTACAATAAGGCCTGATTAGAGTACATACTTGTCACGAATATGAGTCGACAGCATACATTGTAATCGAGGGCATCAGTCATCCAGAATCAACCATCAAGTCAAGTTACTAGTCCTGAATTTATTTATACGTAGTATGCAATATTACTCAAGACCATTTTTTGATTTTTAAAACTGATAATGCCTGATGAGAAATTCTAAATTGTTAAGCGCAGAATTAATTATCTCTACATAAATTAAATTTCATAGGATAAAATTTCGAGTTTTACAAAAAATGTATTATAGGAATAATAGGTCTTGGCGACATTAAACAGTGTTTTACAAAATTCAAATTGACTTTAAATATATTTATGATACATAGAATACTCCTAACTGTATGTATGTATTGAGTACATATACTCACTATAGTGAATATAAATGTAAATTAAATTTTATAAGAGCATTTCGACATTCAAATTTTTCTTTTCAACTTTTCCATTTAAAATAGAATTTACTACGTATTCTTAGAGAAAAATTGCATTTACAATTACTCCAATCGTAAACAATTAACTCCCTTGATCCTATCGCCCAGTAGCATATTTTTTTAATTCAGAGATAAATATTTTTAATGTACATTTTTTGCATATACGAGGTTTTTTATGCATAATTTAATTTAAGGTTTGTCATAAATAATGATTCTTTGGAAATTGAATTTTAACAAAACGATATTTCTATCGTTTTGTTACTATGTATCTAATGATACATAGTAGAGCGATTTTTTATTTTTTTGAAGTAGCATTTATTTTACGATTTCTATATCCATTTGTGTTTGATAATCGGTATTAACAAATGAGTGTGTATATATTTTATGAGTAAATCTACGTTTACATTTAAATTGCTTATAAGTATTTAATGATAGTCATTTATAAACTAAATATTTATTTTATTTTAATAACAGTCTTCTAACATTTAAAACAGTTATATCACTGTTATTAAGAGTTTTATACAAATATAACATTTCTTTTTAAATATAAGAGTAATTGTTATTTTTAAAGTAACAATAACATTTTGTAACAGTTATCAAGATTGATAATAAGTTGCCATCGCTAGTCTTATGTATATATAATAATTAATCACTATAAAATTTTACAGATGTTTTTCTACGTTCATAACTGATTTCAATTTTCTGTTCTCTGGCAGATATAGAATAATCAATTGCGTGACTTTAAAATAGAATAATCAGTTATCACCTAAAATCGAACAGTAAAAAAATACAACTATTATCATTGGATTATTGTCATAGCATAGTAAAATTTTGAATGTTATAAAAATACTTAGTTTAGTCAGATAAATTATGTGTTAGCAATTAATTATTATTATACTTTGGTTATAATTATTCACAGTTATTATTTAGGTATTGAATGTTAAAATTCAATAACTTAAATATGGAAGAAGTAAGTGCTGATTATGTCTAAATAATTTTTTAATTTTTTTTTCTCAACTGCTAAGAACTATAATTCACAGTTTAATATAAATATAATATATTTTAATATTTGATAATTTATACGTGTGCTTATTTTCACAAAGTAAATTTTTATTGGGGCAAATGACTAAAATATAAAATATTAATGCATAATTTCTAGATTAGTTTTTGATATATCATTTTTTTTTATTATACGATTTCGTTTTACAAAAAAAGAATTTTAAGAATTAATTTTCAAATTTATATTAAATAAATAAAATATATAATTTTTCTTCTTCTTCTTCCTCGCCTTAAGCCCAACTACTTGGGGTCGGCCATCCTTATCCTAAACTTCCATTATCTACACTCATGTCTCATGTCTCATGTCCTCATATCGCATTCAATAATATCCCTCAATCTCATTTTTAGTCTTCCACTACCTCTTCTTTTTTCAACATTCATTTCTATAACTGTTCTATAGCTTCCGATTCTTCTCTCCTCATAACATGATCAAACCATCTAAGTCTATTTTCTCTCATCTTATCCACGATTGATGCTAAACGTATACTCCCTCTTATATGCTCGTTCCTTATCCTATCTTCTCTAGTCACCCCACTCATCCATCTAAGCATTCTAATCTCTACTACACTCAATCTCTGCTCTACTTTCTTATCAACCGCCTAACACATCGAACTATACATCATAGCTATAGTATTATAGAATTTACCATTGGAATTCTTTAAGGCCTAGTGTCTTATGCCATAAAAGAATTATTGAAATTCTTTTATCGCATAAGACACCAAACGCTTCTCTCCACTTCAACCACCTGTACTTAATCCTGTGTCTTACAACTCGTCAATACCACTGCTCTTTTGCACAACTGATCCTAAATACTTAAAACTTTCCACCTCCTCATTCACGTTCTCGCCTATTGTCACTGATCTCCTTATTTCACCTACCTCATGTTCTCTATTGTCAACCCAGCCAGAATTTCTGGTAATGATAAAATTAATTGTCATAAAGTGTATAAAACTAGTCTTGTTCTAATAAACTCAATGGTGAATAATAAATTTCATGATATAAATCTTAGAGGTCAAATAAAGTTATAACTCTATCTTCAATAACTTCTAGACTCTCCACTCATCCATCTAAGCATTCTAATCTCTGCTACACTCATTCTTTGCTCCAATTTCTTATCAACGGCCCAACAGTCTAAACCATGCATCATAACTGGTCTCACTACAGTCTTGTAGAATTTACCTTTCAGCCTTATTGGAATTCTTTTATTGCATAAGACACCAGACGCTTCTCTCCACCTTAACCATGTCTTAAATTCTCGTCATGACTACCTCTCATTTGCACAACTGATCCTAAATACTTAAAACTTTCCACCTCTCTAATCACGTCCTCGCCTATTGTCACTGGTCTCCTTATTTCACCTACCTCGTTTTCTCCTTTATCAAACTCGTACTCTATATAATCTTTCTTACTTCTACTTATTTTTAACCCTTTTCTTCAACAAGAGCTAATCTCCACACCTCTAGCCTTTGATTAATTTTCTCCTATTAACACTATATCGTCATCTAACAACATGTACCACAGCACCTCTCCTTGTATTTCTCACCTTATCCTCATTGCCAGGTACTTCTTGTATCACCTCATCCATCTCTCTCCAAAACACTTCCTTGTCTATTTCATCACATCCCACTTGTGGTGCATAGGCACTTATTACATTCAGCATTTTCTCTTCGAATATAAATTTTACGACCATAATTCTGTCACTTTTCCTAGCTACATCTATTACTTTACTTTTCATCTCATCATTCATTACTATCCCTACACCATTCTTTGTAATAGACTTACCTTAGTATATTATTTTATAATCCTCACCTATTTCCCTCTATTTCTCTCCTTTCCACTTAGTTTCCTGCACACAACAAATGTTAACTTTCTCCTCTTCAATACTTCTACTAATTCTTCACTTCTACCAGTTAATGTTCCAACATTCCAAGTACCTATTCTTACTTTGTATCTATATTTCTCCCTTATACACGAGTCCAGCCTAGATTTAAATGATGATGTCCCTACACCGTTGACACTACAAGCATTGGGTAGACCTGTACACATGACTAGTGAAACAGCTACCGCACAAGTTGTCCGGCTGGTATCAAACACTTTACTCCTTAGGCCTTCTTCATTTTTAACTACTTTCTGTTGTCCCCGCGTACATCCGAGATAATCTGCCTAGTTTTGTTCAGGATTCCTCATACTTTTTTGACAAAGATTTTTACGCCGGCTGTCAACCTGACACAACCTTATTAGTCGCCTCTTACGACTGGCAGAGGGACCGTGGAAGTATTCTTATCCCCTATCCACAGGGAAAAAATAAAATGTATAGTACATTTACATATTTATATTATAAACTTACATAATTTTTATTATTACCAGCTTTTTTCTGAACTATTTGTGGTTCAATTTGAATAAATTATCAGAAATAGAAGTTGGACTAATATATCTATTTATTTACATAAATTAATTTATTGATTTTTTTAATAAAATGTAGTGGTTATTTATTGATGTTAGATTATTTAAACTTCAAACCAATAACATTAATAAATTTAATTAAGTATTGAATTTATCTAAAAATATACAAATGTATAGTAGTTCATACGTAGAAAAGTGTTATATTCTATGCTAAAATAATAACTATCATGCCATTTGGCTATTTAATTAAATATTTAACATCTCCCAAACCTTTAAATTTATCCTTATAGATTTTATATGGTTATAACTAAAAAATTTTATGATAATCCTGAAAATGTTTTTAAAAATCATAAAACAATTTAGAGTTGAGCCTTTAGGTAATTTTTATTTGGGGTGTCTTCATTTTTAATTATAAAATTTTAATCTTGTAATTAATTAGAACTACTGGAGTGACCAAATGTTAAACATAACTATTGATTTTTTTCAATTTAAATATTTCATTAAATTCTTATTGAAAGATAAATGTTTTGGCTTCCATTTTACAATTTGATTATTTTTATTTTTAACTAGCCATTTTTAAGTCAATTATTGAGAGTTCATAAAACAAATGCAAAAAAAATTAATAACATGAAAAGAAAAAAATCTAAGTCCAAATTAGCTAAGAATTATTCTTCTTCCCAAGAAGTTACTACATCAAATGAAGTAAAACAAGATAACATTCAAAATATTTGTTGTACCAAAAAAGAATCAATCAAACTAGAAAAAGTACCTGAATATATTTACTTTTGTGATCCAAATGGGAAAATTCATAAAGACATGCTACAATACATTAGTATTAAAAATAAAAAAATAAACTAAATAAGTTTTTTTACTCTTATCTATTATTGTAAATGTATAGTAAAATTTTCTGTATCAAATATGTTTTATATTATATTAAATGACAGTAATTTATATAATTATCAAAATTTGTTTAAATAGTTTTATTTTCAATTATAAATATTATAAGGTCATATTATTTTTTTTATTTTTATGGCTTATTGAGGATCATACAACAACATCCAAAAAGTTGGTTATAATAAAACTTAATACATTAATTGATTTATTGTTGACTATTAAATCTTTTCTAAAATAATAATTTTGAAAAAAACATTTTTTTGGTCTTGAGTAGTATTTTTTTTTTTGTTAATGTTAGAATCATTAAATATTTTTTAGGTCTATCCCTTATTTCTTATAAGATTACCTACATCATTTTTTAAAATTGTTACGTACATATTTTACTGGCTTTAATGTTAGATAATGATCCAATTAAAAAAATAATTGGTTGGTAATAAATTTTGAATCACTATTTTGGAATTTATTAACATTTTTAAATGTAGACTGAAGGCAAGGTGTAGGTTAAGTTAATTTATCTATATTCATCACTCTGCCTCGCTTCTCCTTTCTCTTTGAAGTTGTGTAACTACGTTGTAGGATTATATAGTAGTGTTGAAATATTTTTCATTTTAGGAGGAGTAGAGTTTAACCTCCCTAATCACCTCAAAACTATAATATTGTTAAAAATACATTACTAAGTTTTCAAGTCAAAAGTTTGTTTTGGCTGATGATGTGTTCGGAATAACATGCCAAAATGTATAAATGCATAAAATCTACGCTTTAGTATTTAGTCATTGCTGGACCAAAAACTGACTTAAAACCATAGAGATGTAAAGGAATTTGACAATTGGCAACCATAATAAAGTAATTAATTTAATTTTTACCCTTTTCATGTTATGAAGAATACTAATATAATATATCACCATAAAAATTTTTTTTATTTAATTTCATTATTTAAAAAAATGTACCTAGAAGTAAAATAAAAAAACTTTGAAATATGTAGATATGGAATGAACAAAATAAAGATAGACTTATATCCAGGAACAATATTTTTATACAATAAATGGAAACTAATTATTTTGGAATAAATCATTTATTACTTTATTAAAATGATATAAAAATTCCATTTGGCATTACCTTACAACAATAATTATGGTAAAACAATTGAATAGTGTTATTGTGGCTTCTGTATGTTATAAATAAATAAATTACAAATAAAATTCTAACATAATATACATTATATATTCATAACAAAGTAATTATTTATAAATTTTTAAGATAAAATAGTGATAGGTGAAATATTTCCTATTTTTGAATCTTATTAATGAAATATTAAAGAAATTATATGATATCTGGAGCTTGTGGAATTAAAGATGTAAAAAATGTACTAATTACAGTCCAGAGAGTTGTCATTAATCGTTCATTTTGTCTGGATGTTGTATCTTCAGTATTTCCATTTGTAATATTTCTATTATTGTCCACTACCTGTTCTTGATTTTCTGGTATAGCCCTTCGTCTATTTTGCTCGTGAATTTGACGTAATAATCCAGTCTGATATCTAAAATATATTAATATTTATGATTATATTATATATTGATAACGTTTTATAAACAGAGTAACTCTTATGTTACAAAGCACATAATTTTTACAAGTATAAAAGCTTTTTTTTTTATTATTACATGAATATCTTTATAAATGAATTATTAAGCTTTAGGTTCATTAATACAATCCCCTTCCCTTGACATGGATATTTTTATTATACAGAATTAAGCTGATATTTATTAAAGTATTTCTAATGCATATTATTAGGGATCCTTCTTTAAAAAAAGTTAAAAATTTACCACTGTATAAATTAAATAATCAAGTTATCACAAATTTCAAAATTAATTTAAGCTCTAAACCTAATGCCGCTCAAGTACTATATTGCTTGAGCTTTTTATAATAATAAATATGATTTAAAAGCAATAAAATTAATAATATTAGAATATTGAAAAAGTAAAAATTTACAAGTAAAAAAATACTGCAAAACCAGCAACAACAATAAAACGGCCTGGAGATGAATAAAAGTAAATAACACTTAAAAAGATAAATATTCTACTAGATACATATAACCAATCTAGCCAATCTTGATTATTTGGAATATTTGGTTCATTTACATTTTCTCCAGGTACAATATTTTGAACTTCTTGTTGATTATTTCCAATTACATCTAAAGAATACCTTAATTAATTTGCATGATCATTATAATAGACATATTTGTTAAGACAGAATCAAAGAAGTGTATCAACTAAATAATAATATAATTTTAATAGTCAATTGTTTTTCTTATAAAATTAAGTAAATTAAAAACCAACAACTCTTGAAATTTAATTTATACTACATACATGCATATTTTATAAAAGGTTAATCCATATCATATCTTCCAGTGATCATAAAACTATTTAACTCTTTTTTTTTGTTTTAATTTCATACATAAGTTTCCAAGTATATATATATAAAAACCCAGCAGAGTGAGGTCGTGGCATAGTTGGGTCCAGTATAGATGATATCTGACAGTGATTAAAATCACTATCATAAAAAACGCTTCGATGCAAATCTGTAGATAGTGTTTAATTAAAAAAAAAAAAATTTGTCAAAAAAGTAGGTCAAATGAGAGCTGAGAAAATAAATTATAGCTACAAAAAAAACCACATAGTAAAATAATATTAATATAAATTTCTTCTCACGAGAGGAAACTACAGTAAAGGGATCCTTGATATTTAATGAAGTTATAGAATATAAATGAGATAAAATAAAATGAGTTAAACATTTTTTTTTAACTCAAAAAGAATTAAGACAAAATTCAGTGCCACATGCATGAAAGACTCAAGTGTTACCATCTTAGAAACCGTAAGTCGCATTCGTCAGTTAATAAAAATGGAAATTTAGCTAGTTCAAATATTAAAGTTATTTTTCTCGACTTCAAAGAAACAAAAAAATTTTAAAATGTTTAACTTTTTATACTATGTCAATTAGATTGATATAATATTTATTATAATTAGTGTAATCCCCTTATAATAAAATAAAATACAAAACCAAGAATTTTAACACAAAAATAGCATATTTTTGAAAGCAGTAGCTTTTTAACCATTTTCACCATGAAGACAAAATAAAGTCTGAAATTTTTTTTTTAATATTAAAGTATATTACATAAGCTTTAATTTAAGATATATATAAAAGTGTCAGTATTTCCGGAACACTTTCAAAAATTAAGTTGAAAAAGTTCTACTTTCTATATGCATTTTAAAGATTTGAAGCCCACCTATATTAAGGGAACCGGTCCGATTTAAAAAAAAAGTATGTCGAATGAAAGAAGTATATAAATATTATTTCTTATAAAAAAATTGTATTGATCCATACATTTTTCAAAAAGTTATAACATTTTAAAGTTAAACATGTTAAATATAAAATCGAGAATTTTAACACAAAAATAGCATACGGTAGCCATTTTCACTGTGAAGACAAAATAAAGTCCGAAATTTTTTTTTTCCATAATAAAGTATATCACATTAGCTTTAATTTAAGATAAAATAAAAGTGTCAGTATTTCCGGAACACTTTCAAAAGTTAAGTTGAAAAAGTTCTACTTTCTATATGCATTTTAAAGATTTGAAGCCCACCTATATTAAGGGAACCGGTCCGATTTAAAAAAAAAGTATGTCGAATGAAAGAAGTATATAAATATTATTTCTTATAAAAAAATTGTATTGATCCATACATTTTTCAAAAAGTTATAACATTTTAAAGTTAAACATGTTAAATATAAAATCGAGAATTTTAACACAAAAATAGCATACGGTAGCCATTTTCACTGTGAAGACAAAATAAAGTCCGAAATTTTTTTTTTCCATAATAAAGTATATCACATTAGCTTTAATTTAAGATAAAATAAAAGTGTCAGTATTTCCGGAACACTTTCAAAAGTTAAGTTGAAAAAGTTGTACTTTCTATACGCATTTTTCAGATTTGAACTCCCCGTATATAAGGAAATATTCTGATTTAAAAAAAAAGTATATCGAATGAAAGATGTATATAAATACTACTTCTCATGAAAAAATTGTATTGATCCATACATTTTTTAAAAAGTTATAGCACTTTAAAGTAAAAAATGTAAATTATAAAATCGAAAATTTTCACACAAAAATAGCATTCGGTAGCCGTTTTCACCATGAAGACAAGTCCAGAGGTCAAATTTTTTTTTTTCCATAATAAAGTATATCACATTAGCTTTAATTTAAGATAAAATAAAAGTGTCAGTATTTCCGGAACACTTTCAAAAGTTAAGTTGAAAAAGTTCTACTTTCTATATGCATTTTTTATATTTGAAGCCCCCCCATATATAGGGAAATAGTCTGATTTAAAAAAAAAGTATATCCAATGAAAGATGTATATAAATACTACTTCTCATGAAAAAATTGTATTGATCCATACATTTTTTAAAAAGTTATAGCACTTTAAAGTAAAAAATGTAAATTATAAAATCGAAAATTTTCACACAAAAATAGCATTCGGTAGCCGTTTTCACCATGAAGACAAGTCCAGAGGTCAAATTTTTTTTTTTCAAATTAAAGTACATTACATTAGCTTTAATTTAAGATATATATAAAAGTGTCAGACCTTCCGGAACATTTTCAAAAGTTAAGTTGAAAAAGTTAATTTTTTGTGAAAAAGTTGTCATTTTAAATTCCCCCTTGTGGGCAGAAAAAAGGTCAAATTTACAAAAAATATATATACCAAATGATAAGTAAAGACATCAAGCATCTATAAAAAAAAATTTTTTNCAATAGAAACCCGTTTCCTGACTTAATGAACACCCTGAATAAAAAAAAATTTTATTGATATGTTCATTTTTGAAAAAGTTACGGCAGTTTTTAGTAAAAAAAATTGAAAAAATTTCGAAAATTAGCGATTTTTAAATTTGTAATTTTTTTAGAGATTTCCCCCATTTACGGAAATGAGAGAAATTTTTTCTATTTTTGAGGGTAATGTCTTCGACTAGATACGATATGTGATCTTTTGACGTATCGTTGAAAGAATTTGGTTTGATCAGAGCTGAGAAAAAGTGGTAACAAACACAAAAAAAAACACTTCATAGTAAAATTAATACCTTCTGAGCTTCATATTGAAGCTCAAATTAATTAACGTGAAAATAGATTTATGACTTGTCAAATTTTTAATCGCATAATACCCATAATTTTTTGAAAAAATACCCCTGAAATCTATATATAGATTATTTAATTTTNGTATTTTAGTTGATATACTTTTCAATGATTCTATAGTGATTTATAATAAATCATTTTATAATATTAAATAAAATATTTACTTACTATTATTATTATTGTTATTAATGGGCAATTCATTATTCACAGTCATTTGTGTAATATTTTGATGTGGTATATCAAACCTTGCTGCCACACTAAATATTTTTAATAATTTAATTAATAATTTTCATAACGAGATTTACTTTAATTATTACATACTATTGCCAATATTGTGCCATTTGAATAGCATACATTCTATTAATCCAAACAATTTGCTCTGAAGCAATTTGTTCAGGTGATAGTAATATTGGATTGTTATAAGAACTTAGTCTGTTTTGGTCAATTGGACTACTAAACTCGTGCATATTATTTGAATTTATGGTTTCATAGTTAACTGGCCTACTAGTTTCACAAGTGTGTATATTGTTGGTCTCCATAAACTTTACATTACTTTGTCTTATATCATCATGGCTTATGTTCTCAATCTTCGATGTATCTACCAACAATTATTTCAATTAATTTATTGCTATTTCAATAAAAACTATGAGTAAATAATATAATTTTAGATTTTTTAAGTAATGTCATTAAAAATAATTAATTGATCATATGATGATAGTGGTAACATTTAAATAGACAAACAGGTTATAAATCTCAATGCAGTAAATGTTGTATTGCCTTAACTATAAGAAGATGATAGCACATGTATCTAATGACAAAATAAGAAAACGTGTTATAATTATTAAAAAGTTAGCATAATGGGAATGTGTCATAGTTTGGACAAGTATAGATAATATTTGACAGCGATTAAAAACACTTTGGTCCAGATATATAGATAGTGTTTAATTTTTAGAAAAAATGTTGAATGATTCCATAACCTTTTACTTCCTTATTTATATCCTGATTAAAAGTTTTATGGTTTATAATTATATATGCATGAATACTTATTACAGTAATCAAATTTAGTATGAAATTGATATTCAATTAATTAACATTGTAAATTTTAAAAAAAGTAAAGAACGTTTGATTATTCATATTGATATGTTTGAAATTATAATTTATTATAACTTATTGGCAGCTAGAACATTTTTTTTTAGAAAGCATTCTCTTTTTAATATACATGTTAGATGATTATTAAAATCTGCAAAATTGCTCCCTGAAAATGTTTATAATTAACACTTGAATCTTATTTATTATTATTATTTTTAGCAAAGAAGGATTAAATAGGCGTACTTATATCTACCTCCAATATGAATATATTATTTGACTTAAAGTATAAGTATAGATAATTGAAATAAATAATTTAAGTAAAAAAATAAAAAACATAAAGATTTAAAGAAAACATGTTGACTTTATCCACAAAAAAAAACATTTTGTTTAACTTTAGCAACTATTTACACATAGTAAATAAGATATCAGTGTAAATTTTTAAGTTAAAATGAAATGAACTACAAAAACACAGTAATTCTCTTGACATATGATATAAATCATATAGAATAAAAGTAAATCAAATAATATCTACGCCCAAATACTTATACTCCTATCTTTATAGTTAGCCATTGATATTCCAAATGGAAACCTTGTAAGCAATTTAAGAATGAGCGTTAACATAGTGTCCCCATATTAAAACTAAGTCCACAACACTTAACAATAGATACCGACAATTATTCCATTTCCTTTCACACAATACTTAATCTTAATACAAAATATATAATGTACAAATTTTTAATTAAACCTATATGAATTTATGGCCTGGAAATTCGCGCTGCTGCCAAAAAGAAATATACTAATAAAATCCAAATACTCCAAACCACAGTACTAAAAACTATTTTAAAAATTCTACCATATAAAACTATCTATTCTGATTTCAAAATTCCATAAATAACTGATAAAGCTATTTATGCTTTGACAACAAAATACAAGATTATAAAAATTCTTTGTTAGTAAACCAAGAAAAGATGAAAAGTTCTATTTTTTATATATATGTTTCAAGTTTTGAACCCTCTCTATAAGTAGATAAAGGATTAAATTAAAAAACAAAGGGAGACTACAAGGGTGGGTGGTGTCCTTGATATTCATTGAAATTTTAAAATAAACAAAAAAATTAAAAATTTTAACACAGAAAAATAGCATATTGTTTAACTATGGCAGCCATTTACACATAAAAAATCCCAACAAAGTGGAGTCGTAGCATTATTGGGTCCAATATAGATGATATCTGACAGTGATTCAGATCATTATCATAAAAAACGCTTCGATGCAAATCTGTAGATAGTGTTTAATATTAAAAAATTGGTGGATTATTCCTGATTACAAGTTTTATGATTTATAAGAGTAATATATGAATATATTTATAATATATAAATATATAAAGGGAAATGGTTTTATTAAAAAAAAAGTATGTCGAATGAAAGAGGTACATAAATAGTATTTATCATAAAAAAAAATTGTATTGATCCATACATTTTTCAAAAAGTTATAGCATTTTAAAGTTAAAAATATAAAATCGAGAATTTTAACACAAAAATAGGATTCAGTAGCCATTATCACTGTGAACACATAATAAAGTCCGAAATATTTTTTTCCATAATAAAGAATATTACATTAGCTTTAATTTAAGATATATATAAAAGTGTCAGAGTTTCCTGAACACTTTCAAAAGTTAGGTTGAAAAAGTTTTTGTGAAAAAGTTATCATTTTAAATTCCCCCTTATGGGTGTATAGTAAAGGGTCATATTTATAAAAAAAATATACAAAATGATAGGTAAATACCTCACGTATCTATAAAAAAAATTATATCGATTTTGTCATTTTTAAAAAAGTTATGGTAATTTTAAGTAAAAAAACATGAAAAAATGTCGAAAATTAGCCATTTTTTAATTTAAATTTTTTTGGAGATTACCCCCATTAAGGGGAATGAGGAAAATTTTTTCAATTTTGAGGGTAATGTCTTTGACTAGATACAATTTGTGATTTTTTGACGTATACTTGAAAGTAATCGGTACAGTGAGAGATGAGAAAAAGTGGTAACAGATACAAAAAAAAAATAACTAAACACATAGTAAAATTAATACCTTTTCAGCTTCGCATCGAAGCTAAAATATATATAGAATGTGCAGTTTTTAAAGAAGTTTTGGCAAATGTTTGCCAGTTTATGAAAAAAAAATTGTTTTGCCTTCCAGCTAATCGGATATGGATACTGTTCATTTGAATATTTAAAATCACCCATTTTATTATACATTTCAAAATAACTTTTAATTTACCTTTTTTCAAAGGAGCTGAAAAAGAAGATGAAGCACATACTAAATGAATAGTACGATTGAGCTGACCATCATCATCATATGGCCTTAAAATATCTTTTAAAGTAATGCTATCATTTAAAAGCTGCCCAGAATATATCAATCTTTGATCTTCTATTTTCTATAATTACAATTTTTCATAAAATTACTTTAAAAACTTTCAATGATTATTCTTTAATATTTATTATTAACTTACAGGTTTATTAGGATATATTTCATGAATGTGATCTTTAAGTTTTGCTACTGACCAATTCAGTTGACATTTTACTACTTGATCATCAATTTGTTGATTAGGCGCTTTAATAGTTAGTGTTATCCATGAATCTGAAAGACTAGCTTCCATTTTTCTTAAATTTAAGCACAAAAATCATACTTAGAACACAAGTGATATTTAGTATATTTCTTTACATTATATTTTAAGATGACCCTACCAACAAATAATTTTTTTTTTTGAAATTATAATGACAATAAGAAAAATTTAAATTTAAAAAGACTTCCTTATTTTGGTTATCAGTTAACTTGAAAGACAAAAATGATTAATATAAAAGTATGGTAATAATTCTAATTTCACTTAATAAATTATCCCATTAACTCTCTCATATTTTTAATATACTTAATTAATTCTATCTAATGATAAAAACATAGTCTTATATGTATTATTTCTACAGTATTTCACAATATTTATTAATAAATGTTAATATATCAAAAAATGTTTAATGTTTTGTTAAAACTACAATAATTTTTATGACAAACATTTTATTTTGGTTTAATTTAAAATATAATTTATTTTTAGTAACATGCTCCTCAGTTTTTTAACCCAATTAAGATACTTAAGGTTATTATTTGTACTGTTTTCTATATAAATTATATTTTAAAAACAAATTAATTTAAGCTTAAAATTTGTATACTTACAAAATCCAGTTAACTTGAATATATATATATATATATATATTAGTTGGATGAATAAAATATTTTCAACACTATTCGTCAGAGACAACAATTTTATTATAAGATTTTACTTTTATTAATTGTATAATAATTAGAATTTTTGAACATAATATAAAAACTAAATTTGCTTCTAAAATCTCTTACTCTTTCCTCAAATTTATAGTAATATCATAGTTTGATTATCAACTTGTACTATCAAATATTTGGTCATTTTTTATTGGTGGAAAACTGTAATAGATTTGTCAGCTGATTTTATGATTAACATTTGATACAAATAGATATTTTCTGAGGTAAAATTTTCAGTTCTCAGTTTTCTTATCTAGTATACTTGTTAATGATTTAAAGCACTTACTGCGTTGGAATAATTTAATAAGAATAACTAGGAGAAAAATTTATGATAGCAACGCTTTAAAAAAATCTAAAGGCATATTTTATATCAAAAATTGTGTATAATTTTTTCTACTAAATAGTTTAGTTAAAAATTAAATACCACAATGTATTTCTAACAGTTAGGAAACATATTATATTATACAAATTCTAACTTTTAGCTTCGATGCGAAGCTGAGAAGGTATTAATTTTACCATGATGTGTTTATTTTTTTTTTTTAGCTTCGATGCGAAGCTGAGAAGGTATTAATTTTACCATGATGTGTTTATTTTTTTTTTTTAGCTTCGATGCGAAGCGGAGAAGGTATTAATTTTACCATGATGTGTTTATTTTTTTTTTTTAGCTTCGATGCGAAGCTGAGAAGGTATTAATTTTACCATGATGTGTTTATTTTTTTTTTTTAGCTTCGATGCGAAGCGGAGAAGGTATTAATTTTACCATGATGTGTTTATTTTTTTTTTTTAGCTTCGATGCGAAGCTGAGAAGGTATTAATTTTACCATGATGTGTTTATTTTTTTTTTTTAGCTTCGATGCGAAGCGGAGAAGGTATTAATTTTACTATGATGTGTTT